TCTGTATCTCAGATACAGAAGGTCTCACTGGCACCATCAGAAAGATCATGCAGCATGACTGATGATTGAGTCCTATCCTACATAATAGCCCCTGTGTGGGATTTGCGTAGCACATGTTTATTTTATTTAATAACAGTGATAAGTAATAGTGATATTAATCATAATAGATAAATAGTAATCAACAGGATTTAATCCTGTTGCTTCTTTCCTGCTGTGGGATTTCAAGTGGTGGCTCTCATCTTCTAATGGGCAGCGAGTGGGTTGAGTACGGCTTCCAAATGCTTGCTTCTGTTGCCTCAGGACAGCAAGCGCTGCAACACAGCTCATCCCTGCTGAGTTCAGCAGGACTTTCCAAAGCCATTGCAAGCTGGCCCCTCAAAATCTCACAGCAAACTGAAGATCTGTATGTTCTACAAGCTGTGATGTCTGGGATGGAGCCTGTAAGCAGTTTGGCAATACCACTGTTACATATTAAGGTTTTTAGGCAAGTGAGAGTAGCGAACTTGTTTGTTCAGGAGAGATAGTGATATCAGTTTACTGGCTCTGGAAGCAGATAAACCTGCACGGAGCAAAAGCAGGTGAAAAGCCTGAGCCTGCCTAATTACACTTTCCTAACCACTGCTGGCAGATAAGCTCTGTCCTAGAGGCTGAAACCACGAAGACAAAAATCCAACCACGAGATTCTCAGGATGCCCAGTATTTTCATATGCAGCCACTTCATCAAAGCAACAGTCAGGCTTTTGCTCTCTTTCAATACCACTTCTTGAGGTTTTCAAGTAGCGCAAAAAAGTATGGAGAGTTAAGGTTGATGTGTACATGCTCTTTACTGCCTTATTTCTCAACATCACCCAAAATAAACACATTCCACCCACAAATGCACACCTGAAATAACATCACTGATCACTTGAAGCATCACCTCCTGCTCATGTGATTTTTTCACACTGCAATATAAGAGCAACGTGGTTGCACAGACCCCATTATTTCAACCACACTTCCTGTTCTTACCCTAATACATTTAAAAGGTAGTATGGAGGAACGTTAAGCAAATATATGTAATAACATCCAGCACCAAGTACCACAAAGCCTGTCTCATCTTCCAACTTCTGCCATAGACCTGTGGTGTGATCTCAGTATGCAGGCTTGAGTGGCCACCATAGATATCCAATTCGTGTGCTCATGTTTGAGCTTTTTGCATTTCACTTCTTTCTTTTGCCTCCTTCCCTTAAAAAATAGATCATTTTGTTGACCTCTCAGCAGGGAAAACAGGGAAAATGAGTTCATTTTCTCTCTGTTTTACTGATGGGATCAAACCCTAGAGTCTAGTTAAGAAAATAAGCCTTCAGTTGCGTTCTCTCCTTGGCTTGTAGGTATGAAACCCTCTACAGATATACAGATGTTCTTCCAGAAAATGTATGTAGGTAGAAAGATCCTGCCTTTTGTTTGTGAATGGATACCATCTGGGGTATACTTAGAACTGCTACTAGACTATAGAAAAATGGGAAATACAAATTTTTATATGTAAATGGCTATAATGTGGAAAGTTTTGCTGTTGGATTGCATTTTATGCACAAGACTTTGTGTACTTCACAAAAGATCTTTTGTGTACCACAAAAGATTTTCCACTTCTTGCCACAGAACCATGGCCTGAAGCTTAAGCGTGAATTGAGAAATGCTTCTGCTGCTCATGGCTGTGTAGAAAATATTGAGAGTAGGGAGTGAGGAAATGAACCATGTGAAAGCAATGCTCTCATCACCTCGCTTGTAAACACGCCGAGCTGTTATCTAATCCATCTAAGCCATAGCCCCAGTGATGCGGAGGGGCAGGTTTTTGTCTGAGCTGCCCATGGGAGCTGTACTCTTATGCTGCATTTCACTCCTGCCTGTTGTCATTTCCCTTTTATCTGGTGTGAGCTGCACAAAGAATAATGCAAGTGATTTTAGAGATAGGTGGTTTCAGAGCACTCTGTTGGTTTTTAAGCATGTGATCAACTTGAAGTCTTTGGCTACTGTAGTGCAACGGAATAGGATTATGTTGAGACATGGCTTATTTTACAGATCTGGAAGATGACACAGTAATTCAGCTTTAAATTCCTTTACAACATTTTAATTCTGATTAGTGCTGACTAAAGATTTATTACCAGCTGGCTGCCCAGGCTCAGCAGTTTGTTAGTGGGATTTGCTCAGGCCCACCACAGCAGCCACTCAGGCTGTGGCACAGCCCTAGTACAGCGCAGTGCCACTGACTGACCTAGTTGTGGGTCTTCACTGATAGACAGGCTTGGGCTGACAGTAAGCGGTCCTTGGCCATCTTGTTGTTTATTCCCTGGTACCTGATGAAAACATTCTCTTTGGAAGGACAGGTCAGGACCAGCTAGTAGTCCCAGAGATGCCCACCTACTTCATTCTTCCATTAGAACCATCCAAGGGCATCAATGAATTGTTTCCAGATTACAGGGAATATAGGAACCTTCATTCTTTTTCTGGCTTCTGTTATTTGTATGTTGTTTTGCTTTCAAGCCAGCCAAAATTGTAGAGAGAAATCAAATCCTTTAATACATCAGTTGATACAGATGGAAAAAAAGCTTTCAGTACACAGTCCTCCTTCAAGTTTTTATTTCTTTTAGTAATTGATGCTATGTTTAAATCACGATGTTGTCTCTCGTTGCCACTTACCATACCTTATATTGACTTGTCAGCAATATAGTGTCTCATTTCCCAGCAGCTGCTAAGAGTTTAGTCAACATCCAGCTATACATCGGGACGCCAAACCATTCAAAATCACTCCTCGTGGCAATGAAGCCTAATGGTTTTTGTAGTAATTTAACACTGTGACAAGGGAGGAAAAAGTATTTGCTTAGTAGCGGGAATGATGATGGTTAGGTGCCCAACCTGATTAGACAGTTCTTTGTAAACCTTGAATGAACCTGCTCACATTATTCAACCAAATGTTCCTGGGTAAAATGTAAATGGCATTGCTGTCTATCTGGTATAAAATGCAGTGTTTAGCTGCTACACATTCTGTACAGCTTTAAGAGGCATCCTGAATGAAGGGAATAAACATTAATGCTTGATAACTAGCTACTTACTGAATGAGACAAGGAGCCCATAGGAAAAATATAAAGTTATGCATGTGAATGCAAGCAGAAAATTTGCTAAGATTGTGCTCCCTGTCTTTTGGAGACATTATTCTGAAACCTTATCATTCTCACCCCACCCTTCCTCATGAAAGGACACTTACAACTTGAACTGCTTTCATGTAAGAATTAAACAAATTACTTTAAAAATGGTTATATAACAGTTGTTTTCCCCTAAAAGAGGCTATGTATTTTACTGTTCTCAAATGCAACTTATATAAGCGCCTAGAAGCAAGGCTGTGGAGGTGTTATACCCTCTTTCAGTGCCCATGCAGGTTTTTCTAAGTGGTGCAAGTGGAGGTGTTACCACCCAGTAAGCCATGTGGTGGGAAGAATACTCAGGTGGTCTACGTGGGCAGAGGAAGAAGGACTGGCTGCAAATTGCTTCACCTAAATATAGGTACAGAACTCTCAAAGCTTGTGTCCAGATTTAATTGTTCAAGAGTTGCGTTCGGCAAAAGCAAGTTAACATACAATAGTGTTTGTTGAATTGTGAATGGATTTCTACACATCCCTGTACTAAAGATACTATTCAGACACATGACTAGAGCCCACCATTGGAAGAAGCCCAGGCACATGCTGCCACGAGGGCACTGCCAGGTGACGTTTCAGCTGGAGTAGCATAGCTGGGGCTAACCTACAGGAAGCTGAGCTGGCACAGGAGCAGATCATGCAGGCAGAGAGATGCTGTGGAGCTGCGTTGCTCCTGGAATGATGGCGGGGAGCCTTCCCATTGCCCAGACCCTGAGTAGCTTCAGGGGCAGTCACCAGGAGCAGGAAAGTGATGGAAGGCCGCAACGCCAAAACCCTGCCCCACCTACAGTCTGGTGGCTGCAAGAAGCAGTTCTGGAAAGCTTTGAGCTTCCCTTCTCTGTGCGGAAAGCAGGGAGAGTAGTGTTCCCAGGCTACTGCATTGTGTCTATGCAGACAGCAATCTCTCCGAGGAAAGACTGCTGGACCTGGATCTGCTGAGAGTCTCTGGTACAATGAGAGTAAACAATAATTCAGCACTGCCTTGCAATTTCAGTGTGAGCAGCTGAAATACATGATGCTGAAGAGCATAGTGGTCAAAATGCAGATAGAAACATCAGACAGGTTAGGTCTTGGTATCCTACATCCTGAGGGCTCCATGTTGTGTTTTTTTTGCTGTTCTTGGACAACGTTAAACACTTCCATGTCAAGAAGAACTGAAATCCACAAGAGCCAAGGGTACGCTGACCTGTGCTGGCTCTGCTCTGCTTGTGTCTGGCATCCATGAAAGCGGGAACTCCACTGCCTTCAGACTGCAAAGCTAGCAGGGACTGTGCCCTGCCTTGAGACCAAGTTGTTGGGAGAAGCGTGGCTGGCCCTGCTGGAGCCAGAGGAACTCAGCTGGTGACAACAGCATGGGGCAGATGTGCCAGGAAAGATTAAATGAAGGATATGTCGGTACACCCCAAGAAGGTGACGGCCTGCATCAGGTCTCTGCCTTAGGTTTGAGTGAAGATCTATGCTCCAGCGGCCTCTAAGCGGGGCTACCCTCCTGCAGGCCGGCACTCCCGCAGCACGCCGGACCGGGCCGAGCTGTGAAACACGGGGACCGCGCTGTTGCGGGGCCCGCAGCCTCAGCAGGTGTACGCTGAATGGAGATGCAGAAAGGCCGGGGGGCTGTGAGGCGTTTTGGGGAGAGCCCTGCTTCATAAGTCTCACCCCGTGATTCTTTACTTGGGGGCTGCCAGCACGGCCGGGGGGTCCCCTTTCCCCGGCTGGCTGGGGGGTGGCGGGGGGCGGGTGTCCCGGGCGGCGGCGGCGGCAGAGGCGGCGGGCGGGCACTAAGACCGCGCCGCCCCCGGGCGCTGCGCGGCGCGGCGGCTGCAGAAGAGGAGGAGACCGGCGGGCCCGGGAGGAGAGGCGCGGAGGGGAGCGGAGCTATGCTAAACCTGGGGTACCGCTGAGGCGGGGCGGCCAGGCCGGAGGCGGGAGATCTCCGGCTCCCGAGGCGGCAGGAGGCATTTAGGCGCGGGGAGCGGCTCCGCAGCCACCGGGCCAATGAACATGTCCGTGTTGACTTTGCAGGAATACGAATTCGAGAAGCAGTTCAACGAGCATGAGGCCATCCAGTGGATGCAGGAGAACTGGTGAGTGCCGGCGCTGAGCCCAGCCGGCTGCGCGGCCCCGCGGCGCCGTGCGCGGGCACGGGGTTCCGCTGCTACCTGCCCGGCTCCGCCGCTCCCCGGCCCCGCTCCCCCCGCCTCGGATCCCTCATCAAACTTCATTTCCAGCCGCGCCGCTATCAACTTTGCGGGCTGTGCGGGGAGATCTAGGGCCGGGGGCCGGGATCCCCCTTCCTGTCGCGGCCGCTCGCCCACGCCGCCCTCCGCGTCCCGGTGCCGCGCCGCCTGCCTGGGCCTCGCCGGGCGCGCCTCGCCCGCGCCGCGCTGCGCTGCCGCACTCCCTTAGCCGGGACCCGGTCTCGTCCTGCATGGCCTCTCGGTCCTCTCAGCTCGGGGAGCTGCGGGGCGACGGAGGGCAGCGCTGCCCGTGCCCGTGGAGGCGGAAAGGTGCCGGGTACCTGGTAGGGCTTGGGCAGGGGCTTGCGGAATCCTTCCGTGTCTCATCTGGGCTTTTCTTAAGGGCAGGATGAGCAAAACGACCAGCTTGTGGTTTGCGTATCCCTGTCGTCCTGCAGATGAGCCGTGTGGATACCCTGTATTGCTCACTACTCGCATGGGCACTCTGTATAATGGCTAGTGTGGGTAACTTGTGTTGGTACCCCATGCTGCTCATGTCTCTGAAGAAGCGACAGCATATAGGTGCTCTTGGCCTGAGAGTGTTGGATGCTTCCCGTTTTGTTCACATTTTGGAAGAAAACTGCCATCAGAATAGGACAGGCTGGTAGAAGAGGTTGGAGGGGGTGATGTTTGAGATATGCATTAGCTGGATGAGCCACAGGAGATGCAGTTCAGATTAAAGAACATGACTGGGAACCAGGATTTGTGTGTCGTCCTCGTGGTTCTCCTGCTCTTCATTATGTGACCTTGAGACAATTACATAACCTCTCCTGGGCCTCAGTTTCCCCAGCCAGCAGAGACCCGGGGTAATGCTGAATTACCTCGTGGGGTGCTTTGGTGACTGAGATGCTGTTTGCTGAGGGTCTGGGAGACATCAAGCACTGTGTAAATGCTAAGCAGTGTTACTGAAGTCTCCTTGGCTGTGTGCTTGCTGCAGTTAGCTAGCTGGGACTCATCAGCATGAGGCCCCGCTGCCTGGGCCCAAAAGAGGAGGCCATCGACTCTGTGCTCTGCTGTGCAGCCTGAGAGATGGGATGCTCCATGTGCATGGAGTCTCAGTGTAGTTTCACCCTCTGTAAAAGAGCTGATGCATACATAAGTTTGATTCATATAGAAGTAAAGGAGAAGAGCAGTCTGGCCCAGGGACATTTCAGGGGACAAGATGAAGCCATGCCTGCTGCAATCTCTCTCCTAGCAAGCTTCTCTTGAAAATACTGGTGAAGCTTCTTCCAGATTTCGAGTTAGCTTATACATCCTTATCTGATGGAAGTTTGCTCATTTAATGGAACTGGTTCTGTTCCAGCACATGAGATGTTGGCGAAAAACTAACAAATAAAATACAGTAGCTAAGGGCTGTACAAGGAGGCTTCCCCAGTTCCCATCGGTTTACTCCGTATGTTTGTCTGCACTGACACTGATGGCAGTGTTTGCCTTCCTGGCTTAATAGGCAGAACTTGGATGCACACATCATGACTATGAGATGAAGTTATTTAAGCAGGGATAAACACTGTTGTTTCCTCCTTAACAGGAGGATGAACTAAGGGGTCGGACTTCCCAGAAATCTGTGGCAAGAATTTATGCTCTTACTAGTCATTAAATGTAGGTAAACAAGTCCCAAAGATGTGGCATTTGTTATTTTACTTCCATCTCAGAAACAGCTCTTGATGCCTTACAAGGCCAAAAAATAATAATAAATAAGATCTGTACTGTGTGTGAGGCAAGGAAGTGGCTCTAAGTGTTGAGCAGCTTCTGGGTTTGGAGCATCGGTGGAGTTCAACTTGATTGCAATGAGGACAGACCAGATTTAGGCAGTGTATTAATCCCTTTACATACCCTCTGGGTTCTGGACTGTTTAAATACTAACAAGCCCTTTTAATTATAACTTTTCCAGCCAGGCTGGAAAAGCTTGAACACAAAGTCCTGGGGTAGTAGCATGCCCCCCTGTGTACCAGTGTTGTTGGTCTGTATGTGTGATGGTGCAAGGGACAACATGGCTGCTTCTCTTTTGCCAGGGCTGAGCCTCTTTTGCCTCCATTCTCCCACTCCAAACTGCTCTTCAGGGCAAATGAATGTCACGGGGAACTTGGCACCTCACTCATTGCAAACACCCATGATTGCCTTCAGCACGCGTACGTGCTGGGGTTGTTCGCACTCCCACGTCTGCCTCTGAAAGTGTTCCCTGTGAGGCTGATGTGGATGGAGCCATCCTGACAGCTGAGAGCTGTGACAGCAGTGAGTGAGGGCCTCCTTGCCTCATCCTAGGTATTCCTCTTTCAGTTTATGAAGACCCTCCTTCCACAGTGAGAAGGCTTTCTGGAGTGTGGACCTACATTAGCTATGCTGTACAGAGGCTGCTGTTGGAATGCAGAGGGAAAATGAATGGTCCATTCCCAGTACCTCCAAGCTCATGAACTTCAAGCCTTCCTGGTGTGCCGTCCCACCACCCTACTGCATGGCAATAGGATTGGTGTAAAGCCACCAGTCTTGGGGCAGAGCTGGTCCCCTACCCCACACCAGTAACAACAGGTTTGGGAGAGGCTAACGAGCTGCTAGGTCCATTGGGTCCCGTGGAGCAACTTGCACTCGTGTTGTATGAAGGCTGTTGTTTACCACCATCTGCCATCAGATAAGTGGATTTTCATGTAAGATGCAGCACCCCATTGATCTTATCATGCTTGTGCTGTGGGAGTTGTGATTTCAGCAAGATAAGAATTAAGCCCGAAGTTTGTTAAAACTATTGCTTAAAATGAATTCTTGGATCAAGCTGCCCTACTACCTCCTGCCAAACTTCTTTGGAAAGAGATGAAGCAAATAATCTGTGGAATATTATTATTTTTAATCAAGCTGCTCCATGAGAGTGCATGCTACTGTAGCCCTTCATTTCTTTGAATCGATAAATTGTGGATTTTGCAGGGGACTGCGGGCTCAGGCAGGCATGCAGCAAAGGGGCCAGCAGCGCTGCCATTCTGGCTGCAGGCACTGCGGCGGTAGAAAGTGGCCGGAGCTGAAGTGGCAGAGATGGGTGGCGGGAGCGCTGGCTGCCGGGTGCCGCCGCGCCGCAGAGCGCCAGGTTGGGGCATCGGCTCCGAGTGACAGTTGTTCCTGTTATAATTGTCTGGCCAATAATAATTATCTTCAGATGTCTGCTGACGAGGGGCTCGCCAATGGGGAGGCAGGAGGCCTGTGCTGACTGCGCTGAGATTATCTGCCTGGGGTGACGTCACGCGAGGGCTTGCCGAAAATCACAGAAACTTTTCCTGTGCTGCTTCGCCACCGGCGGCAGAGCTCTGGGATCCCATCCCGAGCCATTGGTGTCCTGGCAGCTCTACACTGCAGGGTTCTGCTCCCCCCATCCCTCTCCATGTTTCTCTGTTTCCTTTAACCCTTGTCAGCCAGCAGCAGGCTCTCAGGTGGCAGCAGGAGTATGAAAGCAGAGCTAGTTGCTCCCCGAGCATGCTGTGGGGCTGTGCTGTAGTAAGTGGCCATTTTTGTTAATGAAGCTGTAGGACAGAGTGAAGCCCTGTGTAAAGTCTGGCAACTCAGGCATGACTGTGAAATTACCTCTGAGCTCTAGATTAGTATAAATGCTTTTGTATTAAAAAAGCTGGTTTTAACCTTTTCTTATCTGAAATTCTTATGTGGCAGGGGACTGAGAGTACCTCTAATTCTGGGGGAAATTTACACCCCGCTATAATTCTCTTTCCAGTCCAAATTGAAAATAGGTGTGGAAAGGCAGAAGGTGTGCCAATTTGGGTTTCAAGATGTGCTTCCCTTTTAATAATTCATGCAGGCACCATTGTTCTGGACAGGTTTGTTTCCACTTAAGCACTCTTACCTCATGCAGAAATCATAAATAAGAGGCTGTGCCTATCACTCCAGGCATGTGTGTATGGCAGCCTAAGCTTGATGTAAGCTACTTCTTTATATATGTTTTTGAAACCGAGTGCTTGCAAAATGCCAGGGGAACATGAAGAGCAATGCTGTGGTCACCCTGTCTTTCTCTTGAGTGCCATGGCAGGGATGCAAAATGCAACACTGGAGCTGCTCTTCACCGTGGAGGCTGTTTTATTTGACCAAGTTCAGAGAATGTAGGTTACCTTTACATTTACTCCAGTGCCCAGAAAGCCGTTCTGCTGTTCTCTGGTGCCAACTGGCCAGAAAGCTGAAAGAGTGAAGTGCTGTTGGTGCCATGGAAATTAGCAAATAGCAACTCTTTGCATTTCCTCCATCCTTTCCTGAGCAAAAGACTGATGTACTACATCATCACAGAACTCTGCCTCTGTGAAAGTGCAAGGATGAAGCCAGCGGAGAGCAGCAACATTGTCATTTCAGAGTTCAGGTGATCAGTTATTTTCTGTCTCTGTGTGTGCTTGAGGAAAACAACAGAACAGAATAGATGGTGGCACAGAAATATCATCCTGAAGATAAATGTGTTGGTGACTTCTAGATTCAGCCTGCCTCTGAAACACAGTCACTGGCCTTTCCCTCACCCTATTCCCGGAGTTTGAGCACATCTCTTTTTGTGCAGCTTCATGAATTTTTAAGCTTCTGAGAGTGAAGACATCTCTTCTGCTTCATATGTGAAACACTGTGTACTCGTGGGACTAGCCACCCAGTAAAAATGGCCAACATGAACTCATTTAGGAGACTGCCATTATTTTCAAATGCAAATTTGAATACTACGGAGAGTTTTCACTTAGGAAGAGTTACATAATGCTGAATTACTTTGGCACTTTTGAAAACACAGCTAACATCTTCAGCTAGGTTCATGTCATTAGAGCAGAATGGTTAGGACAGAATGGTTAGCAGCATGGTCAGGACTTTTGATAACTCCGTTTGCTACTCTA